ACCTTTCTTTGCCAATTATGGCTATCATCCACGACTTGATACTTTTGATTTTTCAAAAGTTGATAATCGTGCAGCAGAAGATATGACAAATCGGTTGTCAGAGTTACATGCAATAATGAAGACACAATTGAAGGAAGCTCAAGAACGACAAAAGATAAACGCAAATCTATATCGTAAGGAGCAACCACAAATCAACGTGGGTGATAAGGTATGGCTACTTCGTCGCAATATCAAGACTACTCGACCTTGTGACAAGTTGGACTATCGTAGGCTTGGCCCCTTTTCTGTTTCTGAACAGATCAACCCAGTTGCATATCGGTTACATCTACCGGAGTCAATGAAGATCCATCCTGTATTCCACGTATCTCTTCTTGAACCATATAAGACAGTGGATATACAAGGAAGAAGACAAATGCCACCGCCTCCTATAGAAGTAGATAATAATGAAGAATTTGAGGTGGAAGAGATATTAGACTCAAGGCGGCGCCGAAATAAGCTGGAATATCTTGTTCATTGGCGCGGATATGATATTAGTGAACGCATATGGGAGCCATCCAGGAATCTAGCAAATGCATCAGCTAAAGTCAAAGTTTTTCATCAACGACATCCATCAAAACCAAGATGAAAATCTTTCTTATAAAAGAGACAAGATTGAGGCAAGATAACATTCAATTTCCTATCCTTGTTTGTAACTTCTTTACATTTGTGACGCTAATTAGATGGAGAGCCAACAACCAGCGGATTCAACTCAAGAACCTTCGTTTGCTGATTTGCCGGACGAGACATTACGATTGTCACAACCTTCAAGACGACGCAATCGAGATGAAGATCTTCAAGAACGACATGTTCTTCCTCGAACAGATGGTGAGATACAACGCGTTTGGTATCACGATTTGGGAAGGGACTCCCGATGTTTGGTGATTTTGCTAGAGGTAGGAACAACTCCTGATGGTGTTCCGAATATTCTATTCGAAGGAAGTTATGAAGGCCTCAATAATGATCAAATAACTGGGTGGTCTTCCCGCCCTGGTATGGGACACTATCGATGGTTGAGAGGCCCTATCAATCATCTTCGAAGAGAACAGAGATCAGAGTATGTGGCAAATACAATTCGTCGCATCACAGATTTCCTCAACATATGATGACCGCTCCTCGTGGAACTCGTCTCTAGAAGGGGGGGTAATGTCATGGCCATAATCATGTAAGCTAATAATTACATATAGAAATAGGTAGAAGTAAGTAAAAGTAGATAAAAGTAAGTTAATTATATAATATTTAATATAGAAGCTTCCTAGAAACTTCCTAGACGCTGCTTTGACTTCATAGGTGTCTTTAATTGACTTTTTGGATTAGAAACGTGGTCAACAAGTTGGCCATGTGCCACACATGTTGTTAGCTTGAAGATCAAGCTAACTATGTGGCCCACACGTAGAAAAACTTGCCTTGTAAGTCAAGGCATGTGTCCTATAAAGTCAACATATATTGGAGGTCCTATAGAACGTCGCCACGTAGCCCCTAGTTAGATAGTATATATAGAGACAAGAGTGAAGGCTTCTTCACTCTTGTCAACTCCTTTCTTGCTTCTAGTCTAGTTTCAAGGGTCTCTAGTTTTCTTGTATTTTGGCAATAGCCATTCCAGTTTCTTTCTTAATATACATATTTCTATTTTGTCCTATTTCTTTTTGAGAAAAGTCTCACTTACTCTTTAGCTTTTATCGAGTTCTTATCCTTGACACTTGTTCAGCAAGCTACCAACACGTGATTTACTTATTGATCAAGTTTCTAACCTATCAATCAACTACAATCACATATAAAGTCAAAGTAACGTCCATGAAGCTTCTAAGAAGCTTTTCTAGAAAATATTATGAAATAAATTTACTTTTATCTACTTCTACTTAATTATATAGATAAATATTAAAATAAATATGTATGACTATAATAGGCTCTAATTTTCTAATCTTTAGTTGTAGCCATTTTAATTTCTTTTTGAATATTTATATTTTTCTTATTTCTTTTTTATCATTTTTATTTAATATAGATCATGTTTATTTATATATATTCTTTAAATTTTTGTCTTTGATAGACAAATCAAATAAATGTGACCTATCTAAGGTAATGGTGAGCTAATATTTAAAAAAAAATTGTAATAGTGTATCATTTAATAGAGAAATATTAACCATTAAGATAATTGTAAAAGTTTTAGCCAATTTATATGATTAATTAGAAGGATATTGGTTTAATAATTTATGTAAGGTAATAAATTGAAAGATCTTTGAATTCTTAATACCCATCTTCTATCCTAAATACTCCAATTGTATAAATAAAACTCAAAAAACCATCCTAATAAAAGTAATTCTAAACATATTTATTCCAAATTGAATTAAACTTCTATTAGAAGTAATATAAAGGTTGGCTACTACTACTAGTAAGAACCTCCTTTCATTGATTTACTTATTATTATACTACATGTATAGAGCAAAAAGATTATATATTATAGATTATTTATTATATAATAATTTTTTGTATTAATAATTAATATGTCTTAAATATATGTATTTTTTTAAAATATTTTATTTAAAAGAATTATTTTTAATATTTTTGTCTTAAGAAATTTAACTATTCAAATTAAAATATCTTTAATATCTTAACAATTTTTTTTATCTTTACTTTTCTGGATTAATCAATATTTTTTGCAGGAAATAGTTTTCATCAAAAAATTAAAAAAAAAAAACAATTTATCAAATATCAAGTCTATTTATGTTAACAATTAATATATATATATATATATATATATATATATATATTTTGTTTTTTTATCCTATGTTTATAAAAATCTCATTTAATGTTTTTTTGGACATAATTTAAAAATTTATAAAAAAAACATATTTTTTATTTTTTTGTTTTCTAAAAAATATGATAATTTTTAATTATAATTAGAAATATTATATATTGAAGATATCATATTATTTGATTATTAGACTAATAAAAATTATATATTTATATTTATATATTTAGATAATTTATTATTTAATTTTTATATTTTTATATCATTATATCATATCTATTTTTGTTCTTTTATGCTCTCTAATAGCTCTATAATGCTCATTATAAGATTTAATGAAGGGCATTCTTACTTGTCTTATATTAAATAATCTACAACAAAAATATTTTTAAATAGAGAATACTTCAACTTTCATACATTCTAAAACTATACAAGAAGGTTAGCCTTGCATTAAAGCTCAATAATTACTTTCTATTGTCTTATAACTATCATCTTATCATACTGCAAGTTTTAAAATAATTTTATTAATGTAGATTTTTTTTTTTTTTTTTTTTTTTTTTTTTAATTATTTAACATGTTCTAGATCAAATGTCCTTGATTGAACAAATTTTTGTACATTAGAAGGCATACTCATGACTAATATTTTATCCTATTTTATTTATTTTTTCTTCTTATTTTTATTTCATAATCTTTGTTGTGATTTTTACATAAAATTATAAATTTAATTATTATTTTATAATTAGATAAATAACTAAAAATTTCATAAGATAATTATATGCCCCTTATTTTAAACATATAATTAAAATAAATTACTAAAATAACACATATAGCACAAATACATAAATAATTGTTGGTGGTGTTAGCCAACTTTAGATTATGCACATCTACTACAAAATCCGATTTAAAGCCAAAAGATTGATGTAATGCTTGTGTACTTCTTATAATTTATTTATTTAATTATATTCTTAAAAAATTGAAGCATCATTGAGTTGCTTTAATTTATTTAATTTTATTTATCTTTTTTAAAAAAAATTTAATACCATGGTATTAAGTGTATACATTTTTTAACTTTTTAATTTTAGTTTCAATGTCATGCTTAAAAATTTAGACTTGATTTAATTTTCACTTTCCCTGGATATTTAAATTACAACAATTGTAAATTGAAAAAAATAAATTGTTACACATTCTTACATAGGATGCCATAACTGCTTATATCATGGTTGTAGGTTAATAATATTTCTTTTCAATGACAAAGAATAGTTTATTCCAAAAAAAAAAATCACAACAACTCAGTGAAAATAACACTTCTACAATTATTGGTGAAATCACTCAATATTGATCATCCATTATTTGTATTGAGATTCCAGCCCTAATTCCAGCGTGTCTTTTAACCACCGAGAAAGACCCATTTACTACGTATTCTGAAACGTACTCACACATCAACGCCAGTCACCGTGGTCTCCTCTTCCCTGAAAGACTAAACAAAGCCATGATCTTGGACCCAGTTTTCACATCTTTCATAATAAATGCACAGCTTGTTGAGTGTTCCGTAATAAACCACAACTATAGAAGCATGTTTTTGAGGATATTCAGGTTTTGTTTTTAACATCAACTCTTGTCGAATGATCTCGCGAGATGGGTCATTATCGGAGAAACATGAACGTTATTATAGCTTCGCGGATAATCAATGTAGCTGGTGCGTGGTTGAATTGCTGAACAAGCGTTTGACAGAATCTAGTGACATGCTTCTAACTGTTAATACACACAACCAGATCGTTTGCAACCTGAAACTCCACGAAATCCTCTCCCGACAGTCTTGTGACTACCACTGGAGCTTCTTCGTGAAATAAGCAAAGCTAAGTGATGCTCCTTCGTAATCTGCAGAGAAGGTCTAGATTGTGTTGGACTGTTTTACTTGCGTACACTGGAATTGGCCTGGCTGTTAGACAACCGTGCAGAGGATGGAGGATCTGGAGTAGACCCGGGTCATCTTTTGGAGTAAACGGAACGCATGTCTTCAAGGTGGGATTCCGTCGGTGGAATAATTGAGCACGTTTTAACGTGGACGGATGAAGCCTTGCGCGGAAGGGAAGCCTTCGGTCCGGCCAGGCAAGAAATTTCTCACCAGTCGGGTCCCTTCGCCGCTACCCTTTGCCGCCAGGTCCCCACCAATCCTCTCCATCGGAGCAGTCACTTCAACTTTTACACATGAATAAATTTCTATCTAGAAACAGCAGAGCATCACAAGTATGCAGCTTGAATGGTGGCTCTGTTCTCGTCGCGTCTCACAGGATCTGCTGGGCTCTCCACACTGCAACTAGTAGGAAATAAATCTGCTTGAATCAGCTCGAGTTTTGCTTTCAAATTACAAAAGGTATTCCGCTGGTTGTTGTTGGTTTGCAAGAACAGTCGAACTAGACCCGGAGTTCAGATTCTGAGTGCGACGAAGGAAGGAGGACATATCTAATCGCACCACACTTTGAGGGGCACTCGACGCTATCAAGCATCATCTTCAAGTCGGTAGCCATCATCTAGAAGTTGTACGAGGTCGTCAAGCGGATCATCGCCGTCTTGAAAAGCTGCAGCAGTATGTCAGGCTTCAGGACCACGAAGGATATCCTCACTCAGCTAGCCAATGTTCTTCCCACGGGGACGTTCATGCTTTTCCAGCTGATCGCCCCTCTCGCCACTAACAATGGCCACTGCGGCAAGACTGAGAAGATCGTGACGGGTGTTCTCCTGGCAGTTTTTGCAGTGATTATCGTTGTGTCTTGCTTCACGGACAGCGTTAAGGTTCCCAGCACAGGGAAGGTCTACTATGGACTGGTCACCACCAAGGGCTTGTGGAACCTAAGCTTCCAGGGGTCGGGAATTCCGGGGGTCTCCGGCGCGTACTACACAGCGGGCGGGAGCAAGTACACGCTGAGAGTGTTTGATTTTGTCACTGCTGCGCTCTCGTTGTCTGCTTTTGCCACATTGTCACTCCTTACGGATCCTGTGTCTGGATGCTACTGGAAACAATTGAGCTCAACTGTCGTGAAGACCGTTCCCCTGATTGTGGGCGTGGCGGTCTCGTTTGTGATGACCTTCGGGCCCTCAGCACGAAACGGCTTCGGATTCAAAGTCGATGCTTCCGTCCCAGCAAAATCGGCTCCCAGGACCAGCTTGTTAGGCACGCCGGCGATCTCCACCTCTTCGGTCTGATTAGGGCCTGTAAGGTAGAGATTCAAGTCACTAAGCAATCTAATAATTATTTTATTCATCATCATCATCATTTAGCAATCAAATAATTATGATTGAGGTAGTTGGTTCATTGTTGTTCACGCGAACAGATTTTCGGTGCTTGCAGAAACGCAATGACGCTTGTGTATCTGTGTTCATTTAGATTGCAGGTGTTAATAAAGGAGCTATCCAGATTTCCATCACTCGGAACTACGTTTGGAGGCAGTCGCTTTTTGTGTTCAGCTGTGTGTTAATAGCTGTACTTATTCATAAAGATGCTCGTCTTGTTGGATGATGTCTGTTTCGTGTTTCTGGCGCGAAAGATTAGTATGTGTGGCGCATTTGATATGTCTCTAGTATGAATGGGAAATAGCTCAAAGGACAAATCGTCACAGAACTTAGAAGCTAAGGCAATGTCTTCATCTCATGGCGATGCTTTGAACACGTCTCTTAACATCCATTGAACTTGATTCGGTAGCATAGTAGTGATGGGTGAAGCGTACCACTCTTGTAACAAAATCATTCTTTCTAAACTTTCTCAAAAAGCTGCAAAACAATTTCGAGTACATTCATGCTCTATTTTCATCCCTACTGAAGGATCTCCCCAACATAGTAGCAAGAAAATTGATTACGAAGACCTAGCACGTCGCTTCTCATTCTCTTCCCAATAGATCCCACTCAGCACTGCATATTCAGCTCTGTAAAAACTGCGTTATTGAAGTGGAAGGCAAGGTTTCAATATAATAGAAAATTTGAAAAACAGTATGGAGTTCCAAACATCCTGATTTGATAATTAAGATGTAATTGGCTTAACCTATTCCCAATAAGAAAAAAAGAAATATGCGTGAAAGAATAACACCAGCTGCTAACTAAAAGTTATCCAAAAACCAGATCCACACCTCACCAACGCACATTATCAAAATTGAAACCGAGATGTAGATTCAATTTGGCTTGATTTGAGAGATCTGCTCTCTCAACCTTGAACAGATGCTACGTAGAGAAGGAAATGCAAAAATATCTTTCCCTCCAGCTCAGACTCTTGGTTAGCTTCGATATCGACCGATGTAGAAGAAAGATATACTTCTGTCGCCGTTCAAATTTAGATCTAGTATTTTATCGGCTTTGTTAGAAAAACAAACCATGGCACCTGAAAAGAATTGCTGAAGAATGGAGCAAACGAAAGCATTTGCTTCGCGTAACAGTCTCCCATAGATGCACCTTTAGAGTTTGCTAGATAATGAATCTAGAAATACTTTCCATTTAAAGTCACATTAAGCTCAAGGAAATAACTATGACCTGAGATGAAGGCAAGGTGACACCATAAGAACTAGGAGATTAACTTGAGCATCATTTGGACACAACTCGATGCCGTGAAAGCATCATCCCTTGAAGGGCTTAAGTTCCATCGTTTCCTCGGTTCAGCTTCCAGACTGCAAGTGCTCCGTTATCCCAGACTACTGCTTCAGTCTTAACCGCATCAGTTCTGATGACCTCTGTTCCAACAGACGCCTCAAGATTGTCAGTATTGTTATATGTTAAACTTATTTTAAACGCAATCAGGTCATTTATGTCTAGAAGTTAACAAACTAATGTAAAGTAACTGCAACACAAAGCCAGTGGTGCAAGGCACAAAATAGTGCGCATGTGACAGACTATAAGTATTAGGCTAAGACGTAGATGCTTTCGGTACCTACATATTTTGAAAATCCTAACATGCAAAGCATAAACTAAATTTTCCAACTATTATTCAATGCACAAAATTTCTAGCACATTATGTTGTGATATAGTACAGATTATACGCTTCCTCTGTACAAAGTTTATTCTTACTTACACCAAGCATAGTGTCAAGTTAACGTTAAATAGAGAAGAAAAAATAATTTCATAAAATTAAACAACATTATTTCGGTAAGTTTTATTTATTTATTTATTTATTTTTCACAAATCTATAAAAATATAAAAATATATATCGTTTTGTTGAATAGCTTTTTTTTCAATATAAACCTTTACTCTTTTCTAATATATAAGAATAAATAATAATTCTTGATTCCAATAATAAATAAAAATCACTATCAGATTCTTTTGATCTCCATCCTATAGATATTGATGTTGCAGGTCTAAGTATTGAAAAAAACTTAGAGAAGCATTATACTAATAATTTCAAGTTTCCAAGTATCTTCAAACTTGTTTAATCTTTTCACAATTAACATGTTTCTACAAGCATCGAAAGAATCCAACAGAACGATCCTAAAACATATGAACTAACATATCATCTTTTGTAAACATGCAACATATCTTCAATACAATGTGATAACATGTCTTGACAATTCCATTAATTTTACAACAGGAATACATTTATCACCTGAATCAAACCACCCACAACTTGCCTAATACAATCTTTTCCACCATCAAGCCAAGCAATCAGCACATACAGAAAACATCAACCTCGCAAAATCAACTAAAAAGTTAGTACTCATATACTTACATAAGCCATATTATGACACCCACCTGGTGCATTTTGTGACCCTTTTTCTACTGAATTCGACAAAAGGAAATTGTTGACGCCCAGCAATAGTAGATTAAAGTAGGAGAGAACAGGAACATTACTCGTGCTGGAGTACAGAAACAACCCATCGCAGCGGCAGCAGCAGAGAAGAAGACTCACCTCGATCAGCGAGGCAGCAAGAAGGGCAGATTGGCAATGGCGTAGACCCAGACGCCAAGCGTTGCAGCACAGTGCTGGAGCTGCCTCGAAGACAGCTTGTCGATGGTGTCTGCTGCAGTGTGATGGTACCAAAAGTAGCCACTCTTGAGAAAGTTGTCTTCGTCGAAGGCTGGATATGGGGCATGGCTGTAGGGGAGACAAGGATTGTTGTCGTCACTCCCGCATCTCACATCTTCCACATTCAAGCTTCCAGATGGAACGCCGTTAGCATTCAAGAAAGATACATCCTCACCAACTGAAACACCAGAAACGTTTCCAGATCCGATTTCTGATAGTAAGCTTCCTCCGATCAGTTCGAGAATTCTCCTGGCGTCGCTGGAGCCTGCAAAGGAGATGCCGTTAGGGGAGAATGTGCCAACGTCAGATTCCAAGGCGATGCTGTGCCTGATGAGCTCGGAGGCATGGTTGTCAGCGTAGGATTCGGCCCCTCTGGCGCCATTCTCTTCGTTTGTCCACAGCACCGCCCGAATGGTCCTGAGGGGACGAAGACCTAGTGCATGGATCAGCCGAACAGCTTCCCAGGAAACAAATGCACCGCCTCCGTCATCCATGGCCCCATCGGCAATGTCCCAGCTGTCAGTGTGGCCACCGACGATAACGTATTCGTCGGAGTAGGTGCAGCCCGGAATCTCGAGGATTATGTTGCGAGATTGAGCGTCGAGGAGAGCGTGAGCCTCCATGTAGAGCTCGATCTGAAGGGTCTGCCCCCGCGCTTGCATGCGAGCAAACATCATGGCGTCTTCTATGGTGATGGAGGCAGCCGGTATGTTGGACGAGTGCATGGAGCCCGTGTGCGGCGTTTGGATGCCGAACGGGGTTATGGACCTCACGAGAGCAGCAACAGCACCGTACGCTTCAGCGCGAGATGCTCCATAGCCGCGGTACACTACAGTTTCACTGTAAGAAACAAACTCCTGGTTGTAGACGACGATCTTTCCTCGGATATTTTCCTTCTGTCTGTCTAACTCGACGAATGAGGAAACTACAATGGCCTCAGCACGGAGGGTTGTGCCTCCAGTTCCCACGCTGCCCCCAAGGCCCAACATGCGTAAACTCTTACGGCGAGGAGCTATAAGATTGGCGAACTCTCTTCCCCTCACCCATCGAGGCACCATTACATTCTCCGTCTTGACGATAATCCCGTCCTCCTGAGCCCTTGCCACGATCCAGTCAATTGCCTGTTCGAGTGCAGGTGTGCCACTGAAGCGAGGACCGATTGTGTCTGTCATGTAAGCCAAACGATCGTACACGATGGTGGTGTTCATTGCAGATCGTATAATTCTGTCGGCATCCTCCTTCGCGTCAGGAGCTAATAGTTGAAAATCCTCGAAAGGCGCCATTTGCAAGCTAAACGATGAGATCGGTACGCCGTGATGCAGAAACAGAACCAGCAACAAACTCACCACCATCTTCATATTCTCCACAATTTCCTACACATCGCAAAGAGAAGAACTTGTAACCTCATAATCGAGAAACTCAAGAACCTAGACCCTAAACTCACAAAATGCTGCAAAATCCATCTCTCGTTTTACAACATGGGTGCTGTGTGCAGGAGGCAGCGTTAAACTGTGCTGCTGTAGACGGGATCCATCCATCGCTGCGTAATCTCCACACCTCCCTCCCTGATTCCTTCTCGAAGCGCACCCTGATCGACGCCGTCAGAGCTACAGTAGCGAGCGATGGCATCGCCTTCCTTCCGTTTTTCTTCGTCTTCTTCATCCATCCAAAATGGATGAGATACATTGGACGTCGTTGTGTTTCTGTTCATACATGCGGATGATGATGGTGAAGATGCCATTATTATGGTCTCACCTCCCCCCCTTCCCTTTCTTTGGACTCATAACCTCCCCATGACGTGGATTCTTATAAGAATTGGCCTGATGTATGTGGTGTGTTTATTAATGTGTAGTCCGATATGTTGAATTTTATTTTTATTTTTAGTAGTAGAAACTATGTCTTTATAAAATGATAATACATAATTTGTATAGCATTTTAAAATTATGATTATAATTGAATTGAATTTTAAATTCATAAATGTTATAATATGTCTTCTATATATGATTATATTGGGGAAATATCATATATGTATATATATATATATATATATATATCCCTCAAATATGTCAAAATATTAAGAATATTTCTATACTCTTGATAATAGCATATTGTCAAGGACAAGAATATAATAAAGATAAATAAAACAAGTGAGACTTCTTTCAAAGAAAGATGAAAAAATAAAAATAACTTGATATGTATATTAAAAAAGAAATTGAAATGGCTATTGCCAAAAGACAAGAAAACTAGAGACCCTTGAAACTAGATTGGAAGCAAGAAAGGAGTTGACAAGAGTGAAGAGGGCTTCATTCTTGTCTCTATATATACTATCTAACTAGGGGCTATGTGGCGATGTTCTATAGGACCTCCAATATGTGTTGACTTTGTAAGACACATGCCTTGACTTACAAGGCAAGTTTTTCTATGTGTGGGCCACATAGTTAGCTTGGTCTTCAAGCTAATAACATGTGTGGCACATGGCCAACTTGTTGACCATGTTTCTAATCCAAAAAGTCAATTAAAGACACCTATAAAGTCAAAGTAGTATCTATGAAGCTTCTAAAAAGCTTCCATATTAAATACTATAGAATTAACTTACTTTTACCTATTTTTACTTACTTCTACCTATTTATATATGTAATTATTGGCTTACATGTATATGTCCGTGATACATACATACCTTCTACATTGATAAGGTATTAGAAATCTAATGATTTCGTTAATATTTTTGTCTAAATAGTGGCTTTTATAATTTAGTATATAAAAAAAAACAAAAGACTTGCATGATGTGCATTCTTAGGCAGATTATTACTAAAAAGAAGAAAGTGTTACAATTGCCTACTAGTATATAATATGTGGCTCTCTCCTTCATAGCATATTGTCTTATGTATGCAATTCAAACAAAGAAGATGAAGAATTCTACCTATAAACTTGGAATTTGCTACCAATCATTCAAGGCAATGTATAGGAGAAAGTTTGAAGCTCTTATTTGATCCTCATACAATCATTCTTCAAATATTAATCAATTTCAATATCCTGTGCAAAAGTTAGCTAAAAAAATTGTATCAAAAGTTGGATTATTTTTTCATATTCTTGAGATAAACCTATTTATTGATAGACATATTTATCAATTGTAAATTACATAATACTTATTCATTCAATACAAATTTGGAATGGAGAATAAATGAGCAAAGCACTTAATATCTAGATTAAAAATGAACAAATATATTCAATTTCATCAAAATCATATCCTTTTGGATTAACATTGAAAAGGACTAATATTCTATAATACAGAGATTTAAACCGCAATTGGCATCTAGATGGCTATTAAGTTGTAGTATTGACCTTGATTTTACAACTCAAGTTACACTTTGTAATATTTTTAATATTATAATAAATATAATTTGAAATATAATCTTTGTATTTAGAATTGATTTATCAAAAGTATAATAAGTTAAAATGAAAATCCCTTTAGCAAATACATAGAGATCTAAAATTTAGGCTTCAATTATTGAAAAAAATAAGCCATTGAGGTTTTTGAGGAGAATGTACAACATCTACTATTTTATTTTCAAAATCTTAGCTTGAGATTATAGCATTTTGAAGAAAAAAATCATACAAACAAATTAAAGTACTAACAAAATTTTACATCCATTCTTGAGTAGTATGTTACTTCCTATTTTATGATTGAAGAGTTGAAGTTCTTTCCTTGTGCAAATTGTTGCAACAACTTGGATTTGATTGTGATATGGTCAAACTCTTTCTTTGAGATATTTCCTAAGTCTAGTGGATCAATAGAGTCCCTACAAATTTTGTGTATCTTAAATAAACTAAGAGCCAAGTGGGAATAATCATATTTCTTGAGTACCTGGTTATGTGCAAAATTAATGGCATGCTCCATTTGCTTAAGACATTCATCATTCTCTATATTAGCTCTTAATTTGCAAGATTTTCATTCCACAAAGTGAGTCACAAATAGCGACCTCTTATCTTTGTATCCTAAGTTTTTTTTTGCCCTCATTTTGGCACAAGTAAATCTAAGATGCATAACATCCAAAATGATGCAAAAGAAAGAATTCCTAGAGGTAACAATGCATGGGATGCTACAAGGGAGAGAGTTGTATGCTATACATTTTTAGGTAGTTACAACACACTCTTTCTTTTTTTAATGATTTACCTAGGATTACACATTATATAAGACTCTTCTTATTTTTATTTATTTATTGATATACTAAATCACTAAAGCTACTATTTAGGCCTAAATAAAGACAAAAACATTAATAAGATTGTCAAATTTCTAATACCTTATTAAAATAGAGGGTATATATATACTATTATTAAAAATATATGAATACTTTGATATTATGATATATTTGAAGGATATACATGATGTTTTTCCTTATATTTTTAATATAAATCCAATTTGCTTAGTATTCCATATTACATGCATTTACTTTAATTTTTATTTTTTAAAAATTATATATATATATATATAAATTTATCTCTAAACCTTATTCAAATATATATACATATATATAAACAAATGCCTACATACATTTGTTTTCACATTAACTAATAAATAATTTCTTTTAAAGATTATTAAAAAATATGTAATTGTAAATTATATAATTTGATATATTTTAATAATTTCTAAACATTATTAGTTGTATATATTTAGTACACATTTTATTCATGTACATATTTTGTAATATGTATCATTTATAAAAAAATAAAATATTCTTAACACAAACATAATGTGTTTAGTTTAAAAATTAAAACTTACAAATCTTCACCATATTCTGCAAATAACATGTTTATGCAAGTTCATTGTAAACATAGAAATAACATTAATAAGCTTTTACAATTGTAAAATTAAGTGCAACTCTAAACATTACCAAATCCAACTCACTTTTATTTCAATTAAGGATTTCAAAATAAATGATTCAAGATCCAATGTAAGGATAATTTATTCGGTGATTTTATAGTGTTTAAATTTGTTAAAGTTTAAATACGATCATGGCTAATGATTATCACATTTATTAGTGCCAATGGATTACCGCAAGATAAATGCTACATGAATAATTACCCATTGACCACAGAAAAGGCATCACATGTGGTAAATTTCAGGAATCAAAACAACATACCTAACTCAGAGGCACTACTCATTATTATTTATTATTAAGCAAGAGACGAAAAATCTCAAGGGAAAGGGGTAGAAATACTGGAAGGCTTGCAATCTTTTCAAAACTTCGTCGAGTGAACCTCAACAAAATCTTATGCAGTAGCGCCTAATGCTGCTTGCAAAGCACTGTGTACCTCGAGGCCAATTTGCGCTTCTGCTCTCTCCAAATCCTCCTTTGCATTAGAAACCTTCTGAGTGTATTCCTGGACACCCTTTCTCACTTCTTCGGGGTCAAATCTATCCAAAGGAACTGCCTCAATTGCAACAATGTCAGCAACGGAATTGGCGTGCACAAAAGCAAACCCACTGCTCACAAAATAGTTTTTCACATCAGTGCCCTCATGAACCGACATGATTCCAGGCTTCATCTCTGCGATGGTTGGGACGTGGCCGGGCAAGACTCCCATCTGCCCTGATGTCGCTGGCACAATGACCATGTCTACCTGCAATAGTTATTCAATCAAAAAACACCTCTTAAGAGAAAAAAGTTATCCGCGAGGAATTCGATTAAAGTTACAGAGTTCATCATCGTTCTATGTCATACGACTTAGAAAAGACAAGGTAACAAGATTGTGAATTTAAATGTACTCTGTACAGCACTGAACAAAAATAAAATCAAGCGAGAAAATTAATGTGCCGAAAATTTCAGCAAATACTGCACTGCATCGGCAATCGTAAGTGGAATAATACTAACCTCCTTGGCCTGCATCTCAAATTCGTGGGGAAGCACGAAATTCACCGTGAGCTTGGTGGGCAAGGTGGTGGGAACTGAAGGTCGAGCAGCCATGTATTCGCTTGGGAAATGTGGCAAATCGTAATTTGGAGCAACTTTTTTCCAGTCCTGTTTAAAAGTTTCCGGAACAATTGCCTCCGCAGCAGGAGCCTCTGCCTCCGCTGCAAATCCGCGTGCAAGCATGGGTCGAGCTGCGGACCATGTTCGCAGGCCGGATCTCAACCATTGCCTAGCAAGCATTGTTACTTGATGACACTGCGAATTACCAGCCATTTCTCAAAACCTAGCATACCATCCACGCAAAACCCTAAACCAAACCATCCAAACAAAAGAGGGCTACAGCTACACCCAAAGCAAAAATGGAAAAAAGGATCTGAATTGAACGTCTCATACGCCACAGAAGAATTCGAAGCAGAACAGACTAATCAACTGCAAAACGAGGTTGCCTAAATGCAGGAGACAGAATAAGTAAACAAGTCGACAACACCAGGATCAAAAATCAAGCCAAAACTTGAATACATTTTCTTAACTAGAAACGCTCCTGCTGCACCATAGCAAGAAGGGGAAAATAACAACAACAACAACAACACAATCGAATTCACGAGGGTTGATCCGACCTGCCAGCCTTGAAGCCACCACTCACAATTCCAGTGCAAAACCAGTGAGGTTCTAGCGCAACTTTCCTGTGAAACAAAGGGCCATTTAGCTGCAACAAATTTCTTCGAAGAAGACTGAGAGCAGACAGGACGGGTCGGGTCGGGCCGGGCCAATGCGCATTTATTCAGGCCTGTGATTTCATGAACGTTTCGGAACAGGGGGAACCATGATAATTGTACCATGATAACAGTACAATTGTCTTCTAAAATCCAATTATATTTTCGAACTAATTGGCACTTATATGGGTATCTTTTAAAACTCACTTCCATTTAGAATTACATATACTTGAATTTAGGAGCTATTTTTACCAAAATTTGCTGGGATTTATGTAATAATATACTTTTAGGGAAATGTTAAATAGACCCAAGCTCATACTAAATTGACCCATCCACCTTCACCATCATGAAAATAAAAATGACCTCTAGATTCATTTCTCCACTAATAGATTTGCAACCAATAAAAACCAACCATATTCATCATGATTATAATATTCTTCATCAAAGGTGGGTCAATTTAGCAAAAACCTAAGTTGATTTAACATTCTCATAAGTTTTGCAATAAGAGTAAGATAATAAAAAAATTATCCACTTTCATGAATTTTTTTTAAATAAGACTAAATTATTTAGATTAAAAATATTAGATGCCACAAACAACATTTAATGATCCTTACTCTAATATCTTTGAAGTCAAGTATAAGTCTCTTGCCATCCAATTGTCTAAAATCCAAGATTGTGGTGAAATGTTATCTATTAAAATGCAAAGGAAAATATAAAAAGCACAAGACATTGAGTTTAATAGATCTTTGATAAATTTTATTGATAAAAAAAAACTACTTTTTAGAATATTTAATGGTTTGAAAACTTTATAGGATTAATAATCATAAAATAGGATTAATAATCAATTTTTTTCCATTTAAGTCCCAATTAAATTAATTCACAAGCCAATAATATCAATCAAATTAAAACTTAAAAAGATCATAAATAAATATATTATTATGAATAATAATTTAAAATATATATATATATATATATATATATAGATATATGCCCAAAAAATTCTAATTTACAAAACACACTCTATGTTTAGAATTTGGGTTTTGATTATGAATTAAGATTACATATTCTGAAATATCTGCATAGATTTAAAAAAAATACATTTTATTCCATCTTTAAATGTGATCATACATCACTACTGTTTTTTAATAGAAATAAAGTTCTTAACATTTACTGTATTCTTTAAATTGTTATATTCTTTAAGTTGTTTAATATTAATGTGAATATATTATAGTTTTTAATTTTATTTTTTGATTGCCGACATCTCTTTTTATACAAATATTAAAAAAAACTATGGAAAAAATTTATAGTTTTGTGAATATATATATATATATATATATATATATATATTATATTTAATTATGTATTTTTATTCTTAGTACAATATTTAAAAATTAAAAAAAACTCAATAGAATTTTTTGTACATTGTATTGTAATTTAAAAAATAAACCACTAATTAATGTGATTTCTAAGAACTTAAATCCAAACATACTCATTGAAAGATACCATACTTATATTTAATTAAAAAAGAAGAAAGAAAAAAAGATAAAAAAATGTTGCACCAAAAATATTTTTTAATGACTACATGATAATTTAAGGGATATTTTGAGATCCAAGATTTATTAAGTCAGATTTATATATATATATATTAGTAGAAACATATGTTGTTAGTAACAAAAAAGATGTTAAATTTTAATTTGTGATTTTTGATTTAATAATAACTATTTTTAAAGAAGCATTGACCAAGAAAAATAAATGTTGATTAAGAAATTTTGAGATGGCCAATTGTGTTTTATTTTCATAGAAAAGATCTTCAAACTTTTTTTTTTATACAATCTAAATTCTATTTATATCTTCCAATATATTATAAAAATGTGTTCTTTCTACAATTAAAGTATGTAAAAATCTTACCTTATAATACATGTTTGACCATGATATAAAATATTTACCATGATCATATATTATGTGCTTACTTTTAGAAGCATTTGAATGATAGTGGAGACTTAAAATTACCATAGAATCCAAAAAATGAAAAATAAAAAATTCTACACATTTTAAGTGAGCTGTTGCATTTTTTAAGATGTTGATTATATATTTCTTAGATTGTAAATTGAATAAGCATGTATAGTACTAAAAGAATAGAAAAGGCCTTCAAATAAACAAAGAGAAAATATAGGTCACATTATACATGATCTTTGGTTAGTTTAACTTTGAAGTAGAAAATAAAATTCTAATAGCTTGAACAAATATACTAATAATTGGCTATGATTTTTTTTTTCTTGAATTGGCCTACAACTCTAGCTCCTTCAATCATGATTATATTACTCATTCTTAGCATGTTTTTTCTTTGGATCTTGCTATGGCCAACCCAATATTTATTGGAAAAGCAAATATATTCTTCTATTGCAACATTTTGTTAACAACAAATGCTAAATAAAAAATTTAATTAACCCTAAAGATGCTTCATAATTCTTTATAATGTTTGTCTTCAAAGGTGTGTTAATTGCACTATTTTTATATTTTTTTTGTTGTGTATATTTGCATCACTATCTTAGTGCATCTTTGCTGTTTTTCTTCTTTGCCACCCTTTTCTATCTACCCTTCTTTGTATGCTTTGTCTTGATATTGCCTTAGGATTATCCTAGTTCTTTTTAATTTTGTATTTTGTGTTTTGTGTTTGTGTGTTTTTTTTTTTTTTTTTTTTTTTTTTTTTGCTTTCTTAATTTCTAATGTTCTACATTCACTTGTAAAAGTATTTTTTTGCTACTATTAAAAGTATAGGTGCTTGTCTTTGTATGCATGTGCATATTAAACATATCAAACCAATTTAATATAATGCATCATATTAAACAATCCTTAGTTTAAGAATCACTCAATTTCTTAGTCTCTTCAAAAACTACTACAAAAGAATGTATCTAAGAACAAAATTAATTAGAATCTAGGATCAAAAATTATCTTATATTAATATCCTCAGATTTTGTAAAATTATGTTTTTTTAAAAATAATATAATTTTTCAATATGATCTAATATGTTGAGACACCTACATCAACATTAATGAGTTTTGAGTTATTTAGGAGCTTCAAAATATGTTACTTTAGCAAGTTATTTCTTACAATGTTGCATCCATATTTTTCATTGATTGAGAATTGAAAATAAAAAATTTATCAAAAAATCAAATTTTACATCCATTGCAAGAAGACTACTTGATTCATTGTTCAAATTGCTCTTATACTTACACAAGAGGATTATGGAGAATCCTATATAAAATTAAAGAATACAAAAATAATGACCAATATTAAAATCTAATTTTAAGTTATTTTGTAATTGTAATACTTCTAAAATCAAGCAACATTGCTTGTGCTTAAGTATTATCAATACAAATCCTTTAAATCTTTGAAAAAATTTAAAAACCTAAGTAACCTTTCAAATTATATTACATTCTTGCATGAAAGAGGTGTTATAGCTTCAATAGTATTACCTTCTATAGAAAAAATATGTAGCAAAAAAAATATTATCTATTGAAACCTAGTACAAAAATAAAGAAAATTTACAAAATTATTGACTTTGTAATAAGGCATGGATAAAACAATTATATTATTGATGCGTAGAGATAGATAATTGGAACCATTTTTGAAAAGTTTCTAAATTTTTTTAGAATTAGGGCTAGGTTGGTGGTCTATGTGGAATCCACTATGGAACATCTTAAAAGAACTGAGGGTAGTTATCTAGGTGGAGCCTATCTCTAGAACTTTTTAGGAGGGCAATTATTAAGGTAGAGCCTATTTCTAGAATATTCTAAAAGATACTTATTTTGATAGGGTCTACTATTAGAAACATTCTTAAAAGTTCCAAGATGGTTAAATAAAGTACCAATAGAGTTGGCCAAGACTATTTGGAGGCATTTGGTCAAGTATGGCTTTGGTTCCTTTTTCTTAATAAAATTTAGTTTATATTTTTTGTTTTGTTTTGTTTTATATCTTTTTGCTTTGTTTTGTCTTTCATGTTCTATTTTTTTTAGTTTTGTTTAGTTTTGTTTTGGTTCATTTTATCCTACTCTGTGATAGAATTTATGTTCCTATAGATTGGAAGGATTTTAGATCTTAAAGAGAATTAAGTCCTATTTTAGACTTAGTTCTAAAATAACAAATAATTCTTTTAAATATATTTTTTTATGACATAAATAGACTTTTTGGATGCAAAATAAATTAGTATAGGAGCATGCAACAATCTTTGTATGAATTGATATAAAACCTTTTAACTAAAAATATTTATTCAACTACCTTAAGCCCATCAAAAGAATAATTGCTGATAATTGCAACTATTAATACTTATGTGTAAGAATTTATATAATTTTCTATAAACCATATGTAGATATATTATATTTCAAAATTAATATATTTCATTGAAACAAGATTGAATTTTCTAAGGTCTAGAAGCTTATCAATTTTGTAACAACAAAGATCTCAACACTAGATAAGACCAAGCACACCAAAACAAAACTAAAAGTAACTAAATAGAATGGAACATGAAAGAAAAGACTGAATAAAAGAGAATAAAATCAAATAAAATTAAATAGAATAGAATAAAAAAAAAACAACCAAAATTTATTGCAAGAATGAGTCTGAAGCCATACCTGACCAAATGCTAGTCTTATCTATACTTTGTTCAATTATCTTTGGAACTTTTCAGAATGTCTCTAATGGTGGGCCCTATCAATATAACCATCCTTCTAAAAGACTTTAAATGAGACTCTATTGTAACAATCGCCATAAGTCTTTCTAGAATGTTTTAAGTTGGATCTCATATGAACCACCACCTTAATCTTAATTCTAGAAACTTTAAGAAAATGATTCCAACTACATATCTCTATATGTGAATAATATAAATATCCTATCCATACCCTATTATAGCTAATTCTCCTCTACTAATGTGGAACGTCCTCGTTTTATTCCCAATGGTATTTTTAAATGGTTTCTTGACAATGAATGAGGTTTTGTGTAGGTTCCTACATTGCATCATGGATAGAATAACCTTTTTAGAGAACTTTATACTAAAGTTGCAGACATCCATTGCTACAACAAAGGTAGAAATGTTCTAAAATATTATCTACTTCATACTCCTATTGGTC